TTGTTCTAATGACTATGACCATTTTTCTACTTCACATTTTTCATCTCTATCCATCAATCTTGATCTCTCTGGGTGAGATTGTCTTAGTGCGATCTGTTCACTAAAGGTATCTTTACTATTATTCTTCAATTAGAAGTTTATTTGCATTAATTTGTCTATTATTGTAACTATTTGGCATTTTTGCATTAACCTATGCGTTTGTGGTTATTATCATATATTATGTCTATAATTCAAACTAAAGTTTTTCTGATAGAGTATATTTAAAATTCTAACCGATAGCTTCACTAACTTAGCATCAAACTACAAATTAAACCATTGCAAGTATATTGCATCTACTTAAAATGAAAAGAAATAAGATAACATGCAAGTTAAGCTATGTGTGACTTTATACTGTTTTTACACTATCCGGAAGTGAGTGTTGCCCTATGTGATTATTGGTGTTTTCAACAATCGACATTGATAAGAACATGTATCTATTGCCAATAATATTCTCAGTTAACCATGGAAGATAAGAGATCCAAGAGACGACAACTATACAAGATGCAAATAGGGGCAAAGGGGTTTGAGAAACGATTACAGAATGCTTATATGCCAATGTTGATTTTCAATCATCAAAAGGCAATCCAGTATAGATCAAAAACTGTACACAAAACATAATCAAGGTTTACCTCTTTGGTTATTAACATTTATCAAGCAAAAATATGAACAAACTAGCTATTCGTACATTGCTCCAACTCCTTTGCTCTTAAATGTAAAGAGAGGAACCGCATGGGGACACCATGAATGGTAGCATGATAGATTTATGGAAATCTAAGAATACTGAATTAAGAAGATCAATAGTTGTTCTATGATGCATAATCTGGGTATTTTAATGACGGTAATCCAGATATACGCATGATTCTTGGAGAGTTGGAAAGGGGCTTCCAACATGAATGTATATATAATAAGGGAAAAGTATTCCTAAGGAGCCACATTAGATTTAATTTAAGAATGCACCTCTTAATGTATAGATTAGACTATTCCAATGGATGATCCGCAATATTCATCATAATCTAAATGCCTGAAAACATCTATAAAACAAAAATTATCATGTTTCAATACTTCTAACACATAATTTTTGTTGTTACTTTAGCTGTATTGTCGAAAAACAGTTAATTTTATAATGACTTGATGCATGAGTAACTATAACCCAATATGCTCATTTTTTGCTATATACCATCCAAATCATATAAATCAAAATGAACAGAGTGGATCAAGTTTAACTGTAAATAACGTAGTTTTGAAAGTGAATCCTTAGATTGAATCTAAAGTGCCTCTTCAAAAACAATTTTCCAAATATACACAAGGAAAGAGGCCTTGCTACTAAAAGCCAAACATGGTCGGGGTCGAACACAGAGAAACCCACGTGGCATGGTTGCTTAATTGTCCCGCGATTTATTCAATTAATGATTTAGGTTTAGACATGTTAAACTAGTATGGGGCGTGCATGGCGAGTACCAAACTAGCACACCAAAATACCAAATCTTTATAACAAAATTTAAGAGAAAATAAATAAAAGAGGGATGAGATTGGCTCCACCAATCAAGATTCTTTTGCAAATATCCAAAGATACTCATCTCTTCAAAGGGAGAAAGAAGAAGCAAACAACTAGCTAACTGGGGGTTTCCTCATCGATCCCCTC